GAGAGAGAGAGAGAGAGAGAGAGAGAGAGAGAGAGAGAGAAGATTAACCCAACCATGTTCCGATGTGCGTCACGCACCGCGTCCTTCATAGTGTTTCCACATCTCTGAGAGCCGACTGACCAATTTCCGGACACAGAGGGAGAGAGAACGAGAGGAACGCTTGCTGGAGGCCACAAAAACAGATGTATTTGAAAGTTATCTAACCAAGATGATGCACTATGAACTATTGCGGGTGTGGTATTAACAGTCAGAGCATGAGTTGGAATCCTCATGTAATCCGATCCATTCAATATGGTGTAATCCGATCCATTCAATAAACCTACGGCCTATCCCCTTCTTACAAAAAATGGGGAGCGCTGTGAACTCCACATCCAAAAGCCGGAGCCCAATAATTCCTTCCTTTCTTCTCATACTTGCAACTGCACATGCGCACTCGACACATGTGCCACCGTGCGCAGTATGGTGAAAAAAAATCAGGTGCAGCACGCACACAAAAAAGAAATAAAAGAAAAACAAAATGAACAAAATGAAGGATATTGGTACAGAATCCAAAAATTAATATAGAATTGAAAGAATTGTGTTTTTAAAAATCATTTCATCTGTTTGTTCCATGGAAACCGTGGACCCAGAGCTGGACATGTCTGGACTGTTCCAGACGTCCGGTGTTCCCGACAGGCACCCGACAACCAGACAGGACCCGGACCGTCCAGACTGGTACACCAGAACAAAAAGTCCGCACCAAAAAAAAAAAAAAAAAAAAAAAAAAAAAAAAAAAAAAAAAAAAAAAAAAAAAAAAAAAAAAAAAAAAAAAAAAAAAAAAAAAGTCATAAGCAGTAGTAAACTGAGTACATTAGTTATAAACAGTACTAAACACAAATGAAGTCAGTTTAATGAACACAATCAATGGCAGTTGCGAGTAAGGGGACGAAACTTAGTACTTACCGTCTTCCCTACTGTTCACAACTTGACAAAGGCTTCATACAGTCACAGACATACACAAAGGCTCACACAACACTTGAAAGTTGAAACCAGTTCTCAACAGACCAATCCCAAGAAACTTCAGAAAAGAGTACGAAAATCAGAAAGACACAGAACTTTGAACTTGGGTGAGAATTGAAAATTTAAAGTTATTGTCCTTCGGGACATCTGTAAAAATTGGAACGATACAGAGAAGATTCGCATGGCCCCTGTGCAAGGATGACAGGCATATATCGAGAAAGGGTTTAAACCAGGGCTGTGCCGGCAACCGGCCGGTTGGACCAGCCCAGGTCCCAACCGGGCCCAGTTGGACCCCCAGTGGTCCAACCGGGCCCAAAAATGGGTCCTTTTTTTTTTTTTTTTTTTTTTTGAAAT